TATTTAAATTATCATATGTATAAAATATAAATTTCGAAGAATTATTCATTTATCTCATATTTGTCAAACTTTTGTGCTTTCTATTTATTGTATATGTTGATTAAAAAAATCAAAATTGTAAAAATTTATATCACATATCAAAAACATCTTTATATGATAAATAAATTAAATTTGATTTTTATAAGATTTAACATATTTATTTTTATGTTTTTATTAGTGTTAAATTATTATTAAGTAGGTTTTTAAGATTGTAGTTCTAACCAAACATTTTAAAAAATGTCTATGACAGATAAATATATCATATTAATAACATTTATTTTTAATAAAAATTAGGTTTAATTCTGTTAAATTATAATATAACATAATCTGACATAATTTATTTTTATCCTTAATCGTAATTGTAGATATAAAAACTTGTAAAAAATAACTATAATATATATTTATAATTTTAAAAATTATATGTAAAATTTTCAATATTAAAAATATATAAATAAGTATTGCCCCCACGATCTAAAATTTCTAGATGTTACTGACTATAATCATCCAGTTTGGATTTAGCATTTTGGAACCAGAACGACCCGTTCTGAAACCAGAATGGCCCGTTCTGGTTACACTCTTGATGTCTTAATTTTGCATCCGGAACAACCCGTTCCAAGTGCAAAATTAACACATGAAGTGTGCAACCAGAACGGGTCGTTCTGGTTTTAGAATGGGCCGTTCTGGCTCTAGATACATTAAAAAAATTTGGCATCCACGTGACCAACAGTTAATTCCGTCTAAATCATTTGGACGGAAGTCCCAAATTGCAATAATTTAAATTATTGGAGACCAAATTGAAACAAAAAATTAAAGTCGGACTAAATTGAAACAAAAAATATTATAAGGGACCAAATTAGGTTTTTAACCAAGGTTAAACTATTGAATTTTTGTCTTGACTACATTAGTAGGTAACCAACACTAACTCTTAAATTTGGATCCAGAATGTATAAAAATAAAAAATAAAGCAAAAATATTATGAAATTTTTGTAGTTATTACCAAATTTGGGGAATAAGAAACGAATTTTTTTCTTCAAAGAAAACACCTTAATTTATGAGGTAGGAAAACCATTGTTTTGGGCACATCAAAGTAACATTTGAAATAAATAAGGTATCTGTTGAGCATTGGGAGGTTACCACACACATACACAAGTCTTCACATTGGTGAGATATTGTCCGCTTTGAGCTCAAGCCCTCACAGTTTTGCTTTTGAACATCACCCAAAAGGCCTCTCAACCAATGGAGACAACTGTGTGTCTATAAACCCATGTCCATCCTCTTATTTGAACGATGTGGAACTTTGCTTGCATCCCAAAAATCCCCCCTCAAACAAAGGACCACAGTTTACCCCCTCCCCTGTAGTGGAAACTACGAGTATTATCTGATGGTGGCCCATAGAGCTCATTTATGAGCTGAGTGCTTGCACCGTCGCTTCATCATGACCTCCCTCATGACAGTGGGACACACCTCCTAACCCTCCACCGTTTAGGAAGACTTTCGACACAAGGGATCCAAACTTGGATCCACCTGCCAGCCATCATACTCATCGAGTCGGTCACTTGATCAGACCATCAGCTCTAATATCACTTGTTATGACAATATGTAAAAGAAAAAGATTAAAAGAAAGAAGACGACACAAATTACGTGGTTCAGTCAATGTGACCTACGTCCACGAGCAGTTCAAGAATTTCTTATTTCTGAATGAATAAAGATGATGATACAGATGCCTTTTTGCGTTATAACAAGGAGAAAATATAACAACCTCATTACAACCCAAATAAAGATAGAAATTAGAGCTGTCAAAATGGGCCGTGACCCGTGGGCCAACCCGACCCACCTTGAAAACGGGCCGGGCTGGGCCAAAATAAATAATAGTTTTATGGTAAGTGGGTAAATTTAAACCCGGCCCACTTTTACCCGGCCCACTTGGGCTAAACCCGTGGTGGGCCGGGAAGCCCACCAGCCCACTTTTTTTTTTATTGCAACACCAACAACCAACCCAAATAGGAACAGTCCGAACAGAGAGCATAAAGTGTAAAACAAAACCAGTCAAAATTGAAATCTATGGTGTTGTTTGTTGGCGCTGGATTCACAGGCCTACTCCCAGTCCCAGATAATTTAGGATTTATTCTAGCCAGGTTGTATTATAAAATACTTCTCCTGTTGGTTCAATTGTCGTTACCTTCGCGCTTCCGTGTAATTATAGGACTGAAACCCTTTTGTGCAGGATTGGTTATGTTTAAGAATAGTGTCTTACCTCAGGATTTATTATTATTTTGCAAAATGGTTTTATTATGTGGTGAAGCTGTATATTCCTCAACTAACAGCATGTTTGCTTCGGTTTCTAATTAACAAATGATGATGCGTGCCCCGGGCTTTTGAAATTTTAAATTCTGTTTGTATTTTTTTTTAATTTAACACCAATAATTGCTAATGTTTTTATCATGCTCTTATATCCTATCCTATTATATCACCACCAAACCCTAAAACCAATAGTTACCAATATTTCTGATGGGGTTATTCAGAGCTTGCAAGCACGCTAAATATCTAAAATAGATTCACGTTAATTCATCAACACACGTGAGGAACCATACCTGGAAACTATTGATTAGCTAGCTACCTATAAACCACATCCGAGAAAGAAAAACGGCGCTATACATAGATTTTCATGGCTATGATATAGACTAAGCATATGCATAATCATATTATAATTTTTCTAATTCCTAATGGCACACAGAAAATTAAGAAGAAATTTGAATGAAATAGCTTGAGTAAGGGCAACTAACCCAAGGAAGAGAGGGCAAATAGTGGTGTTGAGGTTGATGAACAAAGCAGGGTGAGAGAGGTGAATAAGATTTAAGAGGGGTTTTGTTATTTCGTTGAGACTGGGAAAAGCTAACTTCTATGGTTACTCCAAAAAAAATTAAATTTATATTAATTATTATTTTTAATTTTATATTAAATTATAAGTATGTTTTTATATCTTACTAAAATATGCCATTCCTGTTTTCCTTTTACACTATTATGAAATTATTTTTAATTATTTTTATTTTAATTAAAAGATTAAGTGATTGACCTAAATGATATTTGTAAATGATAATAATACTTATGTGATATATATATATATATATATATATACTTACTACCTGCACATACATACATACAGAAAAAGTAAATTATATTGTTGTAACTTTTATAATTATTATATTGTCTAATAACTTTATATTATAAGTGAATTTAGTTGTTGTTTTTTAATGCGAATATTCTTAACTATTTTTTATTAAAAAATTTAAATAATCATATTAAGTATCTTTTATATTTGTTAATGTTATAATGTCCATATTTGATATCTTTTAATTTTTTATTATTTTATAAATTCTTAAAATAAATGTTATTATCTATTTCAAAGTGATAGTTATTTATTAGAGATTAAAAATAATGTGTTTCAATTTTAAAAAAATAAAATAAAAAAGTATATATTTTAGTTAAAAAATATTTTAGTGTACTCCAATTTTCCTGTTTTATAAAAGACTAAAAATAATATTTACAAAATTTAAAATAATAAAAAATAAATAAATAATTACAAAGACTTAAATCAAAATTCATTATTTTTCAAAAATTGAACAATTATTTAATTCTAAATTATATCAATAACTATTATAAATATGTTATTATTTTTAAGTTAAAAAGAATATCTTATCTTAAGTCTTAATATTTTTGTTGTTTTCTAACATTATTATTATTATTATAACTGATATTTTAGTTTGTGTAGCATACTAAAATAATTATATAATATATAACTAATTTATAATAAACTAGTGAAAAAGGAAAGTACTATGTGATTATGTGCCTCCATAGCTACTATGTCTCCCTTTGAATATACATGTATTAAAGGAAGTAGTGTTCAGTAATGCAATAATAATTTAAGAAGAAAATTATTATATAATTTTTTTTTTGTAATTTTTATTAATTATTATCATATAATTTTTATAAAAGATTAAACGAAAAAATTTCTCTAATAAATTTTCATATATAAGATTTATAAATTAAAATTATATTAATTATATAATATAATAACACATTAATTTAAAAAATGATAAAGACATCATAAAATATTAATCACATTAATTTTAAATTATTGTAGTTTTAAAGTAAAAATAATTTATAATTCACATAAAAATATTAATTATTAAAATTTGACGTGGTATTAAAAAAATAATAAAACATTACTAAAATTAGAATTATAAATTTTTCAAAACTTTTAAAAAAAATTACTTTCATTTATGTCGATAAATTTATGGTATATATTTGTTTTATTTAGTTATGAACATATTTTGATATTAATGTAACATATAATTGTATTATCTCTTTAAATTTTTTTGTTTGGTTCGTTCCTGGAGTATCCGACAGCTGACTAATCTCCTCGCTACGTTGGAAACACTTCAAAAAGTGTGATAGCTGGTCCCAAGATTTAACGTGACTGCATACATAAGTCAGGATTCAAACTCCTGACCTTCCTTAAACGTGAATCAACTTTTACCGCTGAAAAATATATTTAATAATAAATTATTGTGAAAACATACATTGAAAAAGAAAAAAAAAGAAAAAGAAAATACCGTATAAATATAGGTGAACCAAACATAAGAATACGTAGTTATTTAAAATTTTTCTGAATTTCCCGCCTCTCTTCCAATGATGGCGCCGAAATGGTGGCCATTCATATGAACTCACAGTGCCAAATATATTCCTTGCATTTTCCTCTTCCAAACTCAAACCAAAACCCTAATCCCAATCCTCTTCTCTCCATGCTCATGGACACTCCAAGCTCCCACTCTCTCTTCACGCACGTCGCATCCAGAGAGCTCTTCCGGGGTTCGTCACACCGCTTCCAACTTCTCACTCGCTCTTCCTTTTCTCACTCTTTCTCTCTCTCTCTCTCTTCGCAGTTCGTAAACGACCTCGTATGGACGGATTCGTCTCTGGCTTCACCGAAACTGGAGTCGTCGCGCTGCAACACCACGCTGAAGACAGCATTCCTCTCTCCATTTCCTTCTGCAAGGTACTAACGCAAAATCTAACTCATCATAAGGTTCTAAAACCCTAAAGTTCGGTTATGAGGTTTTTGAACTCGTCGGCACTGTTATGGTGTTTGTATCTGTCGCATTTGTATGTAGTTTCATGCAATATTAACCGCAACTGCGATTTCGGTTAAAACTTTCTCTGTATCTTTGCTTATTTGTTTTTCTTGCAGACGTCCAAATTTGCGCATATCCTCGCTGTGTCTGATGAGGACGGGTATGTGAGCTTGTTTAATAGTCGACGTAAATTCTCCGAAACTGCAAGTTTTGAAGAAAACGCAGGTGTTTTTTTTTTTTTTTTTTTTTTTTTTTTTAATAAGTACATCTTCTTT